TTTTTTTTGAGATGAGTAACGCCAGTGTCTCTGTCCTGTCAATTTAGCCTTGGGAAAAGCTGCTGGGTTGAACAGGAGAAGGGAGGTAGTCATCGCTCTTTCCAGCCTCCAAAGTGAAAGTCTGAGCTCTAGAGCTTAAGAGGATTGCTTATTACTGGGTGGTAATGGATCATCTTTTTTCCCCTGGCTTTAAACAACAGCAAAACCCAAACTGTTCTAACATAAAATACAAATGAATGCCTTGCCTGGACTCAGCTAAAAATCTTCAACATTTTTTGGATGAACTTGAGGAAAAAGGTCTTGACCTGCTGCATGTAGGGGGAGGGAAGGAGGGAGAGAGAATTAGTGTGTGCAGAAGGAGGAAACAAAGCAGTCATTTTTGCTTTGCTAACATCATCTTGTGGCTGACTCATAGGCCTGACTTTTCTGGGAATAAAACTCAGTTACTACACTTCTGCTTAACTGCACTTTCTTGTACTGAAACTTGTAGATCCTAACTCTGCCCTTTTTTTTTTTTTTTTTGTTACACTTAGTTTTTTCTAGGAATTTGTTTTAGTCTGTCATTTGAAACTATTGCTGCTAAAGGCCTTCTCTACCATTGTAGTCATCTTCAACTTCTTCAACTTAGGACTGTGTTGTGTGTGTGAGGGGGTTGTGTTTGTTTTGGGTGGGGGTTTTTTGTTTTGTTTTGGGATATTTTTATGAAGAGTTGCATGTGTTTTTAGGTGGAGTCGCACTTTGCTCTTCAGGTAAAAACGCCACAATTTTTCAAAGCTCTACTTAAATGCTGACAAGGGGTTGCTGATTGCCTTGTTGTGATTTCTAAATGCTGTCAATTTAGTTACTGTTAACAGCAGAACATTAATGGACTTGCAATAATCCTTCAGGTTGACAGATGTGATCCAGAGCGCTTACTCATGGCGAGGAGGGAGAAGGTGGGGTTTATTTGCAAGCTGCTAGAAGGGCAGTAACTGCCATACGTCATACTTGTCCTAAAGAGCTTTCTGTGTTACTTCAGGCACAGAAGGGAGTTTGCTGGCTTGTAGAATAGATTAGTTTGCTGAGAGGTGCTGTTTCTGTCTGCTCCTCTGTTGGTTTCCTGACATACAAAGCCCTGGTCTTGCTGCAGTTCACGGCAGTTGCATGATCTAGGTATTGCTTCCAGGCAAGAAAACAGCACAGAAGGTTGTAGGACACTTTAATGCTAGCTCCTTATGGTCTTTCAGTCTTTGGCATCTTTGAACTTAGGAAAAAAGTTACTGCATCAAATGAAAGTATTTGTGGTTGGTTGGTGTGGGGCTGCTTTGGTCGCGTGGATGGGTTTTTGCTTTTGTATGTGAGTGGTCAATACTTAGAGCAATTTAGGAAACCTGCTCACAGACTGCAGTGTGTATTTGCGTTCACAGCTGGAATTGTGCTGACAGTGAGTCATCCTTCTGCCTTACCCAGCCTGTGAATTGAGGATTTCGGCCTTCAGTCAACAGGCTTTCCTCCAATGCTTCGTGTTCTGAAAGCTGGTGCTGGTGGGTGTGTGTGTTTGGTTTGTTTTTTTTTTTTAAGGTGCTATCCTAATATAAATGATCAAAGGAAAACAGTCGATGCTCACGGTCTTGATAGGTAGCTGATCACTAGAGGAAAACATAACTTTTGCATTTGGGGAACGTTAGTGTCTTCCAGGAGTAGTTTTTAGTTTCAAAGATAAAGATTTTTGTGGAGGGGTTTTTTTGTTGGTTTTGGCTTTTGTTTGGGTGGGTTTTTTGAGGAAATTAGTTTTATGGAATTTACTCAAACTGAATAATGTTAGGGATTGTATGAAGTGTAAATATTTGCACGTCTTGTGTGCTCTGTAGCAAAATACTGTTTCTGTTGTGTTAACTCCTCTTTCAAATAAGTACTGACTTTTAACTAAATCTTTACTGTATCTAAAGCATTTAAAAAGGTTCTGTGTACTATTTGCTGGTTTTAAGCAGAACAGTTTCCCTTCCCTAGTTGAAAGTTAGGTGTTCATGCGGAATCTCTTCAGGAGAGAGACTTTCTGCCTTTTGGTGCTATGGAAGTATTTACTGAATGATTTTTTTTTTTGAGCATTACTCAGATGACCTCCACTTAAATCTTTGGAATTTTATTCCTTTTAATGTCCAGATATTTTAGGTATGGTTAAAGCCACCTCTTCAGCAAGGAGAGGTATGTAGGTAGAATGAATCTTGTTACAGAGGATGAACTGATTATAACAGAGCAGTGTTCTGGTAAGAGTTATGATTCTTAAGTTATGATTCCAATTTAATTTTGGAAAGAAAAACTATTAAGCTGAACTTTGAATGTAGTATTGTGGCAACTGTTGATTGGAATAAGCTTTGTCAGCGTGAAGGGGGCGAGACATTCTCTCACAGCTCGGCGACTGGCTCTCTTGGATGCACTGCAAGAGAAAAATACCGTTGTGATGGATGCCTGCATGAGGAATTCCCTTACTCCCTTCTTCTGCCCCTGCGCTGTTACGTTCTGTCCTCTGTCTGCCGCTGCCTGGTGCAGCGCAAGGCACTTGCCTGCTAAGAGTTGCAGCAGAGCCTGCCAGGCAGCCCAGCAGTTAGTGAAGGCCAGCGGTTTGAGGGACAGGTCCAGAGAGTCTTGCTCGGATGGTGACTTGAGAATTTCTGAGTTGGTGACTGGATTTGCGTGGAGGAAAAGGTTAAGTGGATAATGTTTTGTAGAGGGGCTAGAGAGTCGGCGTAAGCATGTTCTTCATTTAGGGATGTGTTGTGCATTGCTGACAGAGATGGAAAAGCTTTGAGGAAGCCAGTCATTTAAAATGTTGGCGGTACCTCACTACTCGGAGTTCCTTACAATTAAAAGCATTTGTGATTCATACTGTTCAGTGAGTTATTTCTCTTATTTAAAATTTCAATTAGAGTACTAATTTCATTTGAATTTTGAGAGGAAGAGTCAGTTTTCAGCCTGCCTTATCTGAAAATCCAAAGCTGTTGAATTACAGAATACAGGTAAACCAATTGTTTATACATTAACTGTTACGAATGGAAAGTTATGGGTTGGTGTGAACAGATCAAGTCATCCAGCAAAGTAGCAAATTTATCTAAGCCAGTGTTGAATATAACTCACTGATATTCACTGTAGGTCACGGCATATTCTTTGTCCTTCTTGTAAGTGTGTACATTTGAATTCAGCAGACAGAGTTTTAAATCTTTGGTTTCTGTCTTAAAGTTTTGTTCAGATTCACATGTATGTCCAGAAAATCATCTAATATAGTCTTTGTTTTCCTTCTCATCTGTAAAAATGAAAGTTACTTTTAAATAATGCAATTTTAAGAATCTTAAATAAAATAAAGGAAGATTATACTATGACATAAGTTAAATTTTTTTACAGTATTTCTATTCAATGCTATAAATATGAAATTACTATAACCATAAACTTAATTAATGTGGGCTGCCACAATACTTTATAAAGCATAGTTGTCTTACTGTTATTGTCAGTTGACTTTTGATTTGCCACATGGTTCTTGCCATAAACCTTTCTGTATAGTAACCATATATTCAAATTCTTAACTCTGAAGTGTTACGTTTTATCTCGGAAGGGGAAGAGTCTTTCTGTCATACCAGCAAAAACGCAGACTTATCTAGGTGAAGTAAAGAGACTAAAAGAAAGAGCAAGCTTACTAGCACTGCTTAAAAAGAATCCAAACCTTCTTATTTGGAGGTAGAATGCAGTATATACTTTATTCTGGCAATGACTTATTACATGACTTAAAATTATGCAGTGCTTTAACGCTTTTCCCTGGGGTGCTGATTGAGAACAAGATCTATTTTTTTTCTTCTGAACTTACTCAATTTTTTAGCATTTCAGCTAACACTTCTCTGGAGTTCAAAACACTGCATAAGATGTGGGGGGAGGGTTGGTGGGCCAAATTTTAGGTAAAGAAACCAATAAAGAAGTTAGGATGAAATAATTAGGGTTTTTTTTATATATCCTGCTTTGTATTATTTGGATTCTGAGATGGATGAAATTTTTGAAGTCAGCATGGGTTGATTTTTTTTTTTAATTGTTGTTCTTATTTAAATCAAGAATCATTTTAGTTTTAATCTTAGTCCACTCTAATCCTGCATTGTGTTTGTAGCTTTTAATGACTACACACTTCTTTAATCAAAGCTTCCCTTGAATTAAAAATTGAAGTTTCGCTTACTTGCTGCAAACTGTTTTTCTTCACTGCTTAAAGGCCTTGATCAAAAATTGGATGCTGTCGGTGTTGGTATGTAACTGTGAAACGTCTTTTACTATCATCTTGTATCCTGAGAAGGAAACGGAACGTTTCAAGCAAAACAGGAGATAATGTAGTGATGTGAAAATGTGACAATGAGCAGGATACTGCTTCCATCTATTCAGCAAGCCAGAGTTATTCCAATACTTAAATTCTTTGGTGATTTCCAACATGATTTGTGTGGGGTGTCTTGTTCACTTGTTTTATCTAGGCAATTCTGGCTCAGAGGGGTCATTTTTGGTCATCTTTTGTTGTAAAACCTCAAGTAAAGTGGTTTCTTAATTACTTTTTTAATGTGTCTCATATAAATGATGTCTTTGCTTGACTGTAAAGTTTAACAGTAGCTATCCAGTGGTAGAATTCTTCCAAATACGTTTTTAAAATGTACCAGAGAACTTCTATGTAAATAGTAATTGTAGTCATGAATCTTGTTATGTTTCGTGACTTCTAGGGGTAAACAAAAAGGCTTTTTATTATGGGATGATCGTGTTTAGACTTTGTATTTACTGGTCTTAACGCAACACTAGGAGATAATAGTTTTATTGAATGCTGTCAGGTATTTCTGTTGTTGATTTATTGTAGTAGTTCTTAACAAAGTTCTAAATATTTTTTATTTTTTTTTCCCCCTTGCCAGACCTTAATTTATTTTGGATTAGGATTCCCATGGCATGTGAACTAGAAGAGAATTTGAAATAGAAGGTCTCTCTATTTTGAAGTGACAGTCTTTATCAAAATGGTTGGAAAACTCAAACAGAACTTGCTGTTGGCATGTCTGGTGATCAGTTCGGTGACAGTGTTTTATTTGGGCCAACATGCTATGGAGTGTCACCATCGAATAGAAGAACGCAGCCAGCCTGTGAGGATGGAAAGTGTGAGAAGCACAGTAAGAACTGCTTCCGATGTAAATGCAAACAAAACCTTTGCTTACAACAAAGACATGCCTTTAATATTTATTGGAGGAGTACCTCGAAGTGGCACTACTTTAATGCGTGCCATGCTTGATGCCCATCCGGATATTCGATGTGGAGAAGAGACAAGGGTAATCCCGCGAATTCTGGCAGTTAAGCAGATGTGGGCTAGATCAAGCAAAGAGAAGATCCGACTGGATGAAGCTGGAGTCACAGATGAGGTTCTGGACTCAGCCATGCAAGCATTCTTACTGGAAATCATTGTGAAACATGGAGAGCCTGCTCCATATTTGTGTAACAAAGATCCTTTTGCTTTAAAATCCTTAACTTATCTCGCTAGAATTTTCCCTAATGCCAAATTTCTTCTAATGGTACGGGATGGTCGTGCATCTGTGCATTCCATGATATCTAGAAAAGTCACTATAGCTGGGTTTGACCTTAACAGCTACAGGGATTGTTTGACCAAGTGGAATCGTGCTATAGAAACTATGTATAACCAGTGTATGGAGGTTGGTTTTGAAAGGTGTATGCTGGTACATTACGAACAACTCGTATTGCATCCTGAAAGATGGATGAGAACTCTCTTAAAGTTTCTCCGCATACCATGGAACCAAGCAGTGCTGCACCATGAAGAAATGATTGGAAAAGCAGGGGGTGTTTCTCTTTCAAAGTGAGTATGAGCATTCCTCCTTTACCTTGTATTGCTCTAAGAGGTAAAATAGTACTTTTTGCATGTAAAAGACTAGTCATAACTTGATTTCAGTTTTTAAGTAGCTAATGATGTCTCGGGAACCTGATTTATGATGCAAATTGTTAGTTAAAAATAATTCTTGCTTTCCAGACAATTTGCAGTCTCGAATTGCTCCTGCTAACATATGCGTATGGAACATGTGAACTAACTTTTAATTAATGGTCAGTCTAACTTGAATTGGGATGTCTAGTATCAGCCTTTCTTCCAGTAGAGTTTTGCTCTCCCCTGTACCCCAAGATAAAGCTGGACTGTTTTATTTAGACTGGTGTTATCCATCCTAGCAAGATCACTTGTTTGATTTCAGGCACTTAAGTATTGTTGTCAATGCAAGAATGGCCTTCGAGTTATACTTGCCAAGAACATACTCTTCCAGGAAACTTGAGAAACTGTTCCAACAAAATAGAAAGCAGAATTGGCATGCTTTTCTGTTGGCATGTGTTCCTAAAAGGACAAGCATTTTGAATAAAATTAACCTTGTTGTAAGCAAATCTCTTGGTATTCCGTTATGCTATCTGTGCACCTGACTTAGCTACTTTCAAAAACCAAAATCCAGCTCTGCTTAGAAAATCTAGATAGGTATTGTAGGGAAGGGGAAAAGCTAGTTAATTCTCTAGTTAAACTACTCTTTTTGGTTTCTTGGACATTATTTACAGTGGAGCTTCTCAGATATGGAAGCAGGCTAGTCTTTATTGTGGGGAAAGCTGTGAATGTTTGAATCTCTCCCTTTTTTTTTTTCCTGACAGATACATCAACCAGATTGTCTTGTTTGAGTTTCTAAAGGATTGATTAAAAAGCCTTATTCCAGCAGCAAGGCATGCCCAGTTAAATTCCTTGGCTTCTGTTTTTGAATATTCACTACTGGCCAAGTCCTTCTGAGTAACAGAGGCACCTTGCACAGCAAGAAATGTGGGCCAGATAGAGACATGTCAAGCTGTTGAATACAGAGTGATTTTTTTTTTTTAAACTACAGTTTTGAGAAATAAAGAATGAGATATTTTGTTTACTTAATTCCTAGGGGAGTGACTGTGTGGATTTTCTGATATATTGTAGGGGAATATGATTTAAAGCAAATCATAGAACTATTAGTCAGTGGCTACAAAGAGAACTTAAAACTCAGATAATGGTTATATATTTACAGTCTGGAGATTTCGCATCCCCATTCCCACTGAGGAAACAGTCACCACCACTGTGTTCACAGAGCTATCGAGAAGGCATCTCAACCCTTTTTTAATGCCTTATTGTTCCTTAGCAGATTGAAGCCTTCTGATAATGTTAACCTGAAGCAGTGTACTGTTGTACATCTCTGCAAGCTGTGTCTGAACTTCTATTTCGTTACCTCTGTCGTGTTATGTGGCAGCTGAGGGGGGAGTAAACTTACTTTTACTGATATAAATAGGTGATTGTCAAGTTCTGTTAAGTGTTAGGTAAAAATAACTATGCATGATGCTATTTCTAGTAAAATATTACTACTTTAAAACTTCCAGATTAGCATTTTTAAAAATTAATGGACGTCTATACAATAAAACTCACTAGCCTTACTGAATTCATACAGTTTCAAGTAGTATTTCTTGCTAAATCTGGTGGAATGGGATGTGAGCAATTGAGAATACTTGTTCATGTGTCAAAAAAAAAAAAAAAGGATTGTTGAAAGTAAGATGTGGCTTCACGATTATTTTTTTTAATCAAACTTTAGAATTTAAGACAAAAGAGTATGGAATTATTCTTGTGACCCTCAATTCAATCTGTTCATGGAATGCTTTATGCTTTTATTATCTCTCTTGAGATGATATGTGAAAGTAATTTATTATTTCAGAAGGCTTTGGCAATAGTGGAAAAGAATGGTTTATTAGTGTTATGTCTGTGGTGTTTATCTAATCAAATACCCTTGAAATATATGGCAAGATTTGTTTTTCAGTTGCAAGAGACCTTTATAATTTGATAATGACTTCAGTGAGTCAGTCTTTTTGAGGGCTGCAGAAAAAACAGTGAATACAAAATTCTCTAACTTGGATGTCTGTTGTGCATTTATATGACACTAATTGAAATTGTGTGTGGGGAGCTCAAGATTCCCCAGTTTTATTTCCTTGTACCAGTTAAAACCTCATGCTTTCGGCATCCCCATCTCCTCACTGCCCTCTCATGTGCAGCTGAGTGCTGCGGATGGGGATGGCTGCCTGTCTAGGGAGTCCTTGCCCAGAGCAGGGGGTAACTGCCTGTAAAAATGACTCTTGGGAAAGATGCTTCCTGAGTAGTTTGAGAACTTTAGTCTGCCACAAACAGCTTATCAAATTTTGACAGCTGAATAGAATATATCTTGGATTAGACTTAGTTTTCTTTCTATCAAGTTGCATTTGGCTTGTTCTCAGCTGCAGCAAAATTCTTGATGGCATCAAGTGTGCATGGCTGTTACGTTCTGTGTCAGGTTCGAACCAACATTGTTCGCTTACGACTTAGAATTTCTCTTCAGGCTTCAGGAGAGTGCTCTTTTCTTCATGGAGTGAATACTGTCATCTTTCAGCTGAAACAACAGAGTCTGGGAACAGTGGACCTCCGTATTCTGATGAACAGATTTCTCCCACCTGACTATCCAAAGGGATGATGATGAAGATCACTTCAGAGAATCTAAGGAAATTCAAACTGCTGCTGTCTATTACAACTCTGTCTTCTCACAGAGCTTTAATTTACCACATGCTTGGTACCAAGTGCTTCGGGCTGTTTCATAATAGTATATTAAAATCAGAATGCTCAAATTATATTACAGTTTTTACTGGCAGGAGGAAGATATCACAAGTACCAAATCATCTGTATTGAAATGTGATGCTCATTTAAAAGATACCACCACATAGGCCTAGCCTCTGTAGCACAGCAGGGAGAGTATGAAAATCTAGGTAAAATTAGTTCCCTAGTTGTCTGCAAAGTATTAGGTAGGGTAGAAAACCTCTGAAGTCAAAGAATGAGCAATGATTATAATCTGCAAAGGCTGTGATACTGTGTACAGATAAGAAAATGAGCAGAGAAACCTGCCTCAGTCATCTTCCACTTACCTTTAAGATTTTCAGACAGGCTTAGTATCCACTTCAGAGGCATGATACCTGCTCAAGTCAGGTCCGACATAAGATGTCTGGAGGTGTTTTAACTGTTGGAGGGTTTTTGAAAAGAAATCTGGCAAGTTTGTTGTCTTGAAATACTTTAAAACACTTTCAGAAAGAGATTACAGTATCGCTAAAAGATCTTTATAATGATGTTATTACCTCGTAACAGAAAGCAAATGTTTAAGAATATCTTTTAAATTCATCTGAAATCAAAATCAATTCTGCCAAATGAAATCTGTCAGATGAATGAAGCTCTAGGTCAGCGCGTTTTATTTTCAGTTGTATAGAGAGTTAAATTGTGCGTGCAGACTGTTTACCTTCCAGAGATGAGCTAGCCACCCAGTGGCTTGCAGAATTCTTCAGGCCGTGAGCTGACTCCATTTTTCTCTAATTCCAGACTCAGAAACTCTTATGCAATAGTCTGTTAATAGCAATATTAGGTACTAGACAGTCTGTATTTAAGATTCTGACTTCGTCTGTTCCCCTGGCTGCTTGATTTGAGGAAACCGTTGGCTGCCCTACTCTCTTCTCCTGCATTTGCTTAGTAATCCCTGCTTTTTCTGTTGTTCATGCAGCCCTAGCCTCACTGTTGTTCTATTTTACTTAGCATTTTTGCCCCTTATTTTGGTTTTTAGCCAGCTGCAAGGAGAAACACAGCAAGGGTTTTAAGGATGTGCACCGCAGCATTTGTAGTAGCGGGAGACTTTCTGTGGTTTGAAGTAATTGCCAGCGTGGCTGTTCAAGGAATGTATCATGGCTGGACTACGTGCTATAACTAGTATTGTTAATGTAGTGCTGGCATTTGCCTCCTAACTAAAAACAGCTGTGGTGACCACCGATGTAAAGAAATGTCAACCCTTTTATAGCAATTTTATTAGGCTTATTATGAAAATAGCTGTCTAGGCAAAATTACATCAGAATACACTATTCTTAATACACACCTTCTATTTGATTCTAGTACAGATGTAGAAGTATTTGGGGTTAGTCCTGTGTTCCATGCCACCAGCTGCTTTTAAAGCTGAAACTGTTCCTGTGGTTTTGTAGTGGAGCCTGGAAGCACTGACCAGGGAGCATTTGCCATATGCATACATAATCAAATTTGCCAAGACTTGGTATGTGTCCCTGTTTAGCTTTGTTTGGCTTTTGAGGTGGTTTTTTCCTCCCAGCCCCTCTCTGTCTTCCCCTATACTTCTCAGATATTCTTTGGTCTGAAAAATCTTTCCCACAAATTGTGTTTTACTTTTCTTCCCACCTTAACTCAAAGGACAGAAAAGGATTTAAACAGAATCGGTGCCTAGGAACAGGTAAATGTAGTTCCCTGCTTATCTCTTGCCAGGTATTAATCACAGGAAATGTTTCATGCTGAGCTTATTGTTACTAAAGACTAAAATGGCAGTGGGGCAAAATGTGCACGTTTAAACAAATACCTTGTCCTGAGGTAAAGCACATATGTGTACTAATATAGGTCCTAATTGATGTATAGCACCCATTGTTTGGGGTTCCAGTAAACTATTAGTCAAACCCGTTACGTGGTTCTCACAGTATCACTCTTATTTTAAATGGTCAAATCAATTTATAGTTTTGGTGAAGGGATTTTGGGCTTGGCTGGCTCCGAGGGGCAGAGGACCATAAGTCTTAAACTTTTCAAACATCTAGTGATGAATTCTTCTGGAGGGTCCCACCCACTATGCTTCTACAGACTCCTGACTCTGCCTTGCCACTTTGATCTTCTGAAACTCAACTCTTAACATCTATTTTATTGCTAATTAGGGTTAAAAAGGCAATGCCCAGACTTCTTGGTTTGCTGTGCAGACTTGTGATCTCAGGCCAATAGCCTTCAGGAAGGCTGAAGTTCGGCCACAACTCCCTGGTCCCAATATCCCATTCTGAGTTCCTGTCTTCGGTTTGAGCTACTGAAAATGGTTGAATAGAGTAAGGCTGAAAAATTCTGGTGGTTGTTTTACAGGGTTTTTTTGTCAGTCAGGTGGTTACCCATCTTGCCCAGCTTCCTTTAAACACCTTTTGCAGCAATCTGAAGGCCCTGCTTGCCAAGACAGTTTCCCCATGGTGATCACTTTCCTGTCTGGTGTGTTCTTTGTTGATTATGTTTAAAGTACTTATGTTACTGACCTTCCAACATTGTATGACTAACTTCCTTCCTCTGTCCTGGAAGAATTTTAGCTGTAATGACAAGTACAAAAGAGTAACAAGGTAAAGACTGTCATTAAGATCAAATTGAGTTAATGACTGGCAGACTACATGCATGCATAGCTTATAATTTAAGGCTTTCATTGCACAGTACAGTGTGCATCTGAATGGGATGCCTCTTGGTATTGATTTAATGTTTGTCTAATGTGCAACAATACTTCAGCCTCTTCTTGGCTGAGGTTAATTAGATAACTTAGATAACTGTAATCAAACTTTTTGCTCTTGTGAGTTGACTGATGTTAGTCTTGAGAGCAGTTTGACTTTCGTTCAGGCTTCTGGACTTGGAAGCTATTGGGAGTATTTCAGAAAATTTCCATTTATTTTTCTCAAAAGATGTTTTCTTATTCTGCCTCCTGTATAACTGAAGAGTTAGCTGTTTGAGAATTAATTTGAATCTCAGTGTTCTCATTCTTTATCTTGTGTAATTGAGGTACTGGTGTTATACTTTTGTACTGTTACTTTCAAGTATAACAATTTTGTTTTCTGGATGGTAGAGCTTTTTGTGATCAAAATTCTTCATGATGTAAATAAGGCCCAGGAAGGATGATAGCTGCAAGTGGATGTGACAGCTGTATGCTCAGCTGGGTTTGAGGCAGGTATAGCCAGCCAGCAGGAACTACTGATACAGTGGCAGACCTTATGGCATTACTTGCAATGCAGATGCAAATATTCCTTTAGGCAACTTGTATATACAGACCTGATTTTTAATCTGCCATAAAAGAAAAATAAACTTTGACATCCAAAATGCATGTGTCTTCCTGAGTTCAGAAAAAAGTTCTAAATTACTCAGAGTAAAAACTCAGAGAGTTTTAAATTACTCAGTCTGTTCTGAGTCCTGATGGCCTGTTTCAGAAATAAACACGGTAAAGAAGTTGTGCATCTTCTAATCTAATAGAAGCAAGGAATGTGGGAAAACAAAGTAATGCCAGATTTCTTCCCTTGAAAAAAACACAAAAAGAAAAACACACAACAAAACTAGAGTGCACGGCTGAAAATTACTTTAGAACTGTTGGTCAAATAAGCAACAGATCAACTATTTTTTTAAATACAGTACGTATGACACTGCTATGATTATGCACTTGCCTTTAAGAACTGTGTAACGACCAAACAATCACTAAAAGGAATGGTTATGAAACATTATTGCAGTCTCTCTATGTAAAAAATTTAGTCACAGTATAGGGGAGGGGGAGTAAATGGCACGTGGATTTTTTTTAATTTAGAATACAACTTTCAAGAGCATTTAAGACGACGAAACAGCAAATGTGGGAAAACAGCTTTATATGTAGGTGTCTGCATACTTTTCACTTAACAGCTCTTTGGCTTTCACTACTGTCTTTACATAAAGAACTTGCTCCAGTACATTCTGTGTGAAAGCCTAAACCAGAAAGCATGCATGAATGTTGTGCTAGGTATTCTCACTTTAGCCTTATGTAGTAAAACTTCACTTCCCTTCGGCTCTGTAGCAATGTGAAATTTTGAGAGGGAAAGAGGAGGGGAAAAAACCCAATCGAACAAAAAAAAAAAGGCTAAAGGCCTTGATGCTAGTGAAGAAGCAAGTATTGGTTGGAATGCAAAATATAACTTACCTTTCTGCCTCCACAGGGTTGAAAGATCTACTGACCAAGTAATCAAGCCAGTCAATGTGGAAGCACTGTCAAAGTGGGTTGGGAAGATACCTGCTGATGTTCTGCAAGATATGCCCGTGATTGCACCAATGCTAGCAAAACTGGGTTATGATCCATATGCCAATCCACCAAATTATGGAAAGCCAGATCAAAAAGTTGTGGAAAACACAAGGAGGGTAAGGCATTTGTGTGTGTTTAATTATTGAGCAAATGCATGTGAACTATAGAGTGGAAGGCTTGTCTTTTGTTTGGGTTTTTTTAAGTCTGTTTCTAATACCTTTTGATAGTTAGCAATAAGTTTTCCTTGCTGCGGGGAGGAGGAAAAATTCTGTGGAACCCTGAGGACTGAAAGTCTGGATCCTGCTGTTTGTCTTGAATTCAGTTCATCTTCCTTTACCCCAACCCCAGGCTGGAGCTGTGTTCTTTGGTGTATGTGGCTGAACCTCTTCAGAATTGTCCAGATAGTTGGGGAACTAGTTAGTAGTGGAAGAAAAGCCAGCTTTCTCACCTGGGCATCAAACTTGATTGATGAGCTCAGCTTTTTATACATGAGGGTTGGCAGAAACTCTGTCACGAAATTACACCCCAAATAATGGGTAGAATTTGAAGTGTGACCCATGGAAAATGGCCCAAGATTATCAAAATGTCAGATTTTCCAATTCTTTCCTGTCCTTTGTAGAACAAACTAAAGATGGAGGAAGGTCTGGTGCTGATTAACCTAAACTTAAGGATTTTAGTCTGTATTTAATGTTGTTGGAATTTGAGTAGTTAGGCTATACAGCTGTTTATCCCTAGAGGTATCCATAGAAAAGCTCATTACCATTGTTTGAAATAAGAATAATTAACTCTTCTGTTCTTTTGAGAATGTGTACTTTATTTAAAAAAGGTGACTTTTGTTGCTGCAGCAAAGTAATCATTGAGAAAATGGAATGAAACAATGTAAAAGGACTGTCTTCCACTAGCCTTCCAATATTAAAAAACCTGATTGGTATGCCAATGGGTTAGGTACTTATTAAAGAAAAAATATCACATTTTGTGAAGTCTCTAAATGTTTTTGCATTATTTCTTTTTAGGAGTCCTCCCTGGGAAGCTTTCATTAACCAGTTGATCAATGTATTAAAGGATGGCAGGTTGACTGTTTTAACAGTTGTTAGCTCAGCATGGAAAAGGTGACCCACCTTTTCTGGTAGGGATAGTGATTAGCATTTTGTAGGTTTCTTGGTACTTACTGTTTTAAAAAGGCTCACAAACAAACTTTTCTGCACTCAATTCAACCTTTAAAAAAAAAAAAGTGTTCAATACTACTTCACGGAGCCTTGAAAAGAAAATCCTGATGCACTTACTTCTGTGTACTATAAAACAGTGACCCAGATCCGAATTTGTATCACGGTGCAGTAATTTAAGGCTGGTTATCTCTTACTGATACAATTTAAATAAGTTTTTGCAGTATGGCAGCCTTTCTGAGGCCGCTACCTGTGCATGGCAAGCTCAGTCCGAGTCGTAAAAGTTGTATGGATTTCAGTCAATTATTGGATACCTTCTTGAAATCTATTTCAGTTCAAAATGCAAGAGAGAAATTCAGGTAATAAACAAAGCCACAAGCATACCTTTTCAAATTGGGCTTTGATTTTTTTTTTTTAAAAGCTAAAGTGTATTGAGGCTTTTTCACAAGTTTGCTTTGAAGCATAATTAGTTTGTTTACTACTGTTAAAAAAGCTGTGAAAAACTGGAGGTTACTGTTATAATAGCTGATCTAAATATTGCAAGCATATGGAACACTTGTTAATATTTTGACTGCTATTTTAATGTAATAGTTTTACTTACAGCCCAAGATAGCATTTTAATTTTGTTATCTGTTGTAGTACCTGGTATATATTTTCCTAGTCACTTGTTCTTTAACAAAATTACTCTTGCATATATGGTTTATATAGACAAAACGAGGGAGATGTCCTGAATTAAGACTACAATCCAAAAAAGCAAAAGGATTACAGATGGCTAATCTTCAAAATTTACAATGTTCCTTTTGAAACATGGAGAAACATGAGGCTTTCAAAATGTCTTGTACCCCAAGGAGCCATTTAAAATGATGGCTCACATCAGTGTTCGAGTTTGTGTTTGAGCGGCTTGAATTCCTCCCCACTCACTTTGCTTTGTTTCCTCCCAGCTGGTTCCCAGCAAATCCCTGCTCAGACCATTGGGTTCTCTGTCTTTGTGACTATGGAAACGTCGATGTCCTGACTTCCTAGGGTTTCAAGATTTAAGGCTTCCCAACTCCCAGACCAGTTTGCTTCTTAGGTTACCTAATTCTTAGGACAGCAGGCTCATCAGCCTCTGTAGAAGTGCCAGGCTTCCTGGCCACCCTGCATATTGCGTAGGAAATTGCCAAAATGCTGGCCACTGAGCTTGGCCTGAAACCAAGTAAGTTTTGAAAGAACTAATATTCTGGTTGGTGATCAGTGGGAGCTGCCTCACTTCTGAAAAATGCTTTGTTTTCTTTTCCCCACAGCTTTATGTTGTTTTGATTTGAGGATGGGGGGCAGATATTTCAAAACACTTCAAGGTGTTTGGGAAAAGTAGAGGGGAAGGAGAGAAAGGAAGGTAACTCTGATGTGTTAGTTTTGCCTATCAGGGATAGCATATGCTGCCCTGTGGGTTTCCCCTTCTCTTCCATGAACCTATGCTAATTTATTTCTTGCTGCTACAGCTTAGAGAAGAGGGCATTTATTTAAACAAAAAAGTATTTCTTGATCTAGATTTTTTTTTTTCCCCAGCCTTTAGGAAGTGGCACTTGACAAGTTAAGTGTGTAATGTCATACTCGCAGCTGCTGAATTTGTAAATTACTGTAGCACTACTTTTGTTCTTGCTCTCATGTTAAATTTCTTCACCTGGGATAGTCTTTCACAGAGTTTTGTACTGGGTATATTGTTGGAGATGAAGCTGTCCGCATAAAATCTTTCCAAAGTTACTCTTCAGTACATAATAAGAAATATATATAAATCTTTCATGTAACTGTTTATTGCTGACTTTGTGTTTGGAAGCTGTTCTATTATATTTATATTTGTGGTCTCTGAGAACTTCAAACTGAACACAGAACTTGAATTTTGTTCATTGAAAACAGATAAAGTTTAGACTACTAAAGCAGAACTGTATTGTGTTAGTATAGTAACCCCTTAGAGTGACTAACTTTAAATAATGTTGAATTATCTGACACTTACTACTCCAGTACTGTTGTAGTTTTTTAGCCCGTTTAAAATGGCACGGGCTAGCACTTCAGATGAGGAAGTTGCCTCTGTCTGGCAACAGAAAGCAATGGTAAGGGGGAAGGACTGATTTTCTTTCTCTTTTTTAAATTTTTTTTTTCACCCTTTGGTGTGGGTTTGCAGGGGGAGTTTTCCAGTTTTGTGGCAGTTATGTAATGCTGGCTTAAATTGACGGTGGAAGTTGCAACAGGGTGGAAGCGCAACACCACTGAAATTATTGGCAGGGGAGATTCTGGCTCCACCTAAAGATGGAACAACACTGTGTCAGCTAGTTCATTGCTATCAGATATGTTAAAAAACAAACAAATCAGTTCTTGTTGTTACGGAGAGTTCTTGTTTTGTATGATTAAAAACATTTTTATACTGTACATACAAAATCAAAAAGGTAAGTGGAATGAAGATTGGTCAGGATGCAAAATATGCTCGTAGCTAGAAAGCCTCTTTTGAGGCCCACTTGTAGAAGATAATTTTAGGATTCCAAACTTTAAACTACACGATGTGATTGTCTTAAAATGTGCTTAAATGCTGCTTGTAGAACTGCATTTATACTGCACTAATTGCACTGAGCAAAATCTATCTCTTCTTGGAAGAGACTATAATCAGACTTCACAGTGAAAATACTGTTCAGCAATTTCAAAGCTGCTGCTGTCAGTCCCGAAAGTAAGAACCAACAGTGTAAGGGTACCTAAAACAAGGGCTGGTACTGGAGAAAAATGGAAAGGAATGGCTAGTGCAGTGCAAAATTTTAGCTTCCCCTAAGCTTTCTAAGCAGTGAAGTCCTGTTCTTGTTTTTCTTTTTCCTCTTTTTTTGTTTTTTGTCCCCCTGCCGGTGACTTGCATATGTACAGCTTAATTTTTTTCTTCAGTCTGGAAACAAAATGATGATTCTCATCAGCTAAAGTACAGTGCTTGAATTAGAATTTCTGTGTGCTTGTAGGTAATGAAAGGAAGTCGATGCTCTCTCCTAAATTTGGATTTTTCACTTTCATGTTACCTGCCTAGGACACCAAAATGGTTAGGTTGGTTTTCCGTGCTCCCATAGCACAAAAATAGTAAGATGCAATCAGTGTTTGTACTTTGTCATCCTAGTTCTGGTTTTGTTTTGGGACGTAAACGGTGAAGCTAACTTCATCACCTCTTATGTTAGCTTCTAAGTGCTGTGTGGTGTTATGAAATAAGACTTCTCTGACAGTATCTGCACTGGTAGAGTACAAATCTGACATGAGTATAACAGATTTTTCTGATGTTTTCAGTAACAAAGCTATTAACTTTTTATCTGTTCTATGTTAAACCTGACAATATTATCTTTTATGACGCTTTATCTTGTCTCAGTTAATGCAGAGAGAGGGAACAAGGTCTGACTAGTATTGCACTATTCAGCAGATTTCTGCGTGTGACCTCCTCAAGAGACAGCCTTTAGTTATTCAGTGACCGCAGAATTGTGCGATCGCCTGTTTTTCTTGTAAGTCTGTTGCTGGTGTGTTCATTTTGTTATAATGATTGGAAGGGTCCCTTCCTTATAGTTACATAACTGACTACTGCCACTCCCCCCCCCACCCCACC